TGTGTACTTCATGTGCATTTCATGTGCATTTCATGTGTATTTCATGTGTACTTCATGTGCATTTCATGTGCATTTCATGTGTATTTCATGTGTACTTCATGTGTACTTCATGTGCATTTCATGTTTCGTTACAGTTAGATGCTGGTAAAGAACTAGATAGAATCGAGCCTGTGATTCCACACTTTATTAAATTTCTGGACAGTCACGAGGAGTCTATCGTAGAATTGGGACAGAGTGCCTTGTGTCACTTCGCCAAGAAATCGGCCAAATCCTTCGCTCCGGAACTTGATAAACTGATAGTAAAATTACTGGAACAGGAAAGCCATAATCTTATGAGTAAGTTTTAAAATATGATAAATCTGAGGAGTAAGTTTTAAATTATGATAAATCTGAGGAGTAAGTTTTAAATTATGATAAATCTGAGGAGTAAGTTTTAAATTATGATAAATCTGAGGAGTAAGTTTTAAATTATGATAAATCTGAGGAGTAAGTTTTAAATTATGATAAATCTGAGGAGTAAGTTTTAAATTATGATAAATCTGAGGAGTAAGCTTTAAAACATGATAAATCTTATGAGTAAGTTTTAAATTATGATAAATCTTATGAGTAAGTTTTGAATTATAATAAATCTGAGGAGTAAGTTTTAAAACATGATAAATCTTATGAGTAAGTTTTGAATTATGATAAATCTGAGGAGTAAGTTTTAAAACATGATAAATCTGAGGAGTAAGTTTTAAATTATGATAAATCTTATGAGTAAGTTTTAAATTATGATAAATCTTATGAGTAAGTTTTAAATTATGATAAATCTTATGAGTAAGTTTTAAATTATGATAAATCTTATGAGTAAGTTTTAAAATATGATAAATCTGAGGAGTAAGTTTTAAAACATGATAAATCTTATGAGTAAGTTTTAAATTATGATAAATCTTATGAGTAAGTTTTAAATTATGATAAATCTGAGGAGTAAGTTTTAAATTATGATAAATCTGAGGAGTAAGTTTTAAATTATGATAAATCTTATGAGTAAGTTTTAAATTATGATAAATCTTATGAGTAAGTTTTAAATTATGATAAATCTTATGAGTAAGTTTTAAATTATGATAAATCTGAGGAGTAAGTTTTAAATTATGATAAATCTGAGGAG